ATATATCCCTGGAGACAATGATGAAATTTGATTGCATTAATTGTTGCAGCCTTTGTTGACTTTATTCAACCATCTAATGCTGGTTACTGTAGTTTAGTTTCAAAAATATCTTCTGACTTCATTGAATGCTGCACCTTCTAGAAATGAAATAATATAAATGTGAAAATTGTTCTGTATTATTACTTTCTCGTAAATCTTCTTCCAACGAAGTTAAGACACTATTTCGCTCTCTCAAACGGAACGACAAGAAATCTGCAAGTAAATTAAATAGTTGGGACGTGAAGTATCGTAACGAGCTTTCTTAAGTTAGTTGTTATTGTTGTTTTTTTTTTCCATGTTACGATATTATGTATTATTTCTTCTTTTTCTTCAAAAAAGAGGGATTCTTTATGCCCTTTTTGGTTTTTATTTCATAGTAGAAGTTCTCCAAGCTGTAACTAGTCTTTGGATGTTATGTTTTTGGGCAGTGTTGCAGCAAAAACTAACCATTCTTGTAGAATCGTTGGCGTTGTTGGGACGGTAATTTTTGGGTAAGTTTTATTACAAAATTTATTATTTTAATTGATTCTTTATAAGTTGTTATATATATTTTATACTCTCTTCATTAAATGCTATTTAAATAATTTTTTACTTCATGGTTTTGTATTCTTTGGGCACAAATAGTTCTCTATGTATATATTTTTTTTGTTTTCTTAGTCACTTCTTTATAATCAGTTTGAGTTTCACACATGTAATAGGTTATTTTTTTCTTAATTGTGTTTATTCAGTATACTAACAATTTATCTTAGTTTTCTGATGTCACTTTAACAATATTTTGACACATACTAATGAGGCCGATATGCATGTGCTGAAGAAGAAAAATTATGAAATATCTACGATTAATTACAAATTCCTCAAAATAAATAATACAGATATAAATTGACGGGTTATATATCAAATTCATTATACATTGCTTGAATTTTAATTATATAAATTTATTTATTTTGTTCGAAAGTATTGGAATGATTATTATATAATTTTGTTCTTGTATGTCGACACAAATTTTTTTTTTTTATTCATTTCTGTAATTGACTTTACTTATTTTTATAGTTATATTTTTTTTTAATATTATTTTTTACATTTATTTTTCTCCATTGTTGAAAGCTATTCCACATATGCTTGGTCATCATTAATATTTAAATCTTTATATAATTGATGTTATATAATTATTATATTGTTAGAAAATTTGAACAGTTAAATGTCTTTAAGAGTTTATTGTAACTAATTAATTTAGCTAATTAATTTAGTCTTCGTTTGTGAATGGTTTAATACATTTGCTAATAATGTTCTTCAATTTTTTTACATCATGTTCTTTCCATTGCAGTTGAAATCTACAATAATTCTTTTGTTATTATAATGGATATTTTGGAAATGTTTGTTGATGAAGACCGTGTTATTGTTAACTTTGACATTGCGTCCGAAAGTGGAAATGAGTCACATAGAGTGTTCATTCATCAACAACGAGTTCAAAAAGAGAGAGAGGCGAAAAAGACTTAGAAATAATTGCAGTGATTATCATAAAAGGAGAAGTGATCCTATGTTATCTTAAAAGAATGATTTTATCGATCGCCACTTCGATGAATCTATAATGCATCAACATCCTTACGCTTCAACTTTAGATCAACAAATGCATAATATTGTTGGTTTTGAATTAGGAAAAACTTTCAAAGGATTGAACATACCATCTACTGCATATGTATTATCAACATTCAGCTACTATAAACATTGTAATGCACGCAAATTTTATAGAGAAAGTAAGGGTTTTTGTTGTTCTAATAGAAAGGTTAAACTCTTTATATGTGACTCACCAGTTGAATTATATAATTTATTTACTTTTAAAGAACTAAATTGTACGGAATTTGAAAAAATTGTAAGGGGATATAATAATCATTTTGCTTTCACTTCATTTGGTGTGAAGTACGATAAGGAACTTTTTAAAACGTATAAAGGTATTTATACATTTAGAGTTCAAGGACAAGTACATTATTATGTTAGTGACCTTATGCCGAAAAATAATGCACCTTCTTTTATTTAATTATATTTGTACGATACAGAAAATGAAGTTCAAAATCGTATGAACATTTCATCAAACTTTGTTGAATCTACTTTAATTGCTTTAATTGAAATCTTAAAAACAAATCCATATAGTAAATTTTTTAGGTCGTTAAGTGATGTCACTAGCTTGCATGATCATCAAATACAAATACGATGCAATCCAGGACTTGATCAAAGAGTTTTTAATACTCCTACAACATCTCAAGTAGCTGCTGTATGGACCGAAGATAATGAAAATACTAATGTTCGTACTCGTGACATTTCTAGATATGGCAATTCTGACGATTCACACGAAGTTCATTACTATTATGGGCGTTATGATTCATTGCAATATCCGTTACTGTTTTCGTATGGGGAATTTGGTTGGCATGAAGGCAATGAGAGATGCAAAAGTATATACTTTCAGCCTCAACATATGTTGACATCTGATGTTATTCTTAACACAGCTACTTCTGCAACTGAAATTATCGAAAAAGAGAATGAAGGTTTGCAAATATATTTTCTATTAGAGTTCTCTATATTTTTTTAGTATCTTATCTTATCAATAAATGTTGAATTTGGTTTGTATTTGGGTTCTGTAGTGTTCAGTGAAGCAAAGAAACGTACTCAGGTATCTTGTCGAGAATATTATTCATATAAATTACAAATTAAGCCTTCTGGTAAGTCTGTGTTACTTTACGCTGATAGATTATTTAAACAATATGTTATAGATATATACGTTAAGATTGAAACTACCGGGTTAGACTATTTTCGTAATAATCAGAAATAAATTCGTGCTGAACTTTACCAAGGTATGGTAGATAGTGTAAAAAATGGGGAAACTAGAGGATGTAAAGTTGGAAGAAAATTTGTTTTACCATAATCTTTTACATGTGGGCCTCGTGATATGCTAAAAAAATATATGGATGGAATGACCATTATACAACGTTATGGAAAATCGGATATATTTTTAACTATAACATGTAATCTAAATTGGCCAGAGATTAAGCAAGAATTAAAGAATAATGACGAAGTTTAAAATTGACTTGATTTAACTGTACATATATTTAGAGCAAAATTAGAAAAATTGAAACATGATTTATATAAAACAAGTATTTTAAGGTCTGTTATTGCACATATATGTGTGATTGAATTTCAAAAAAGAAAACTTCTTCATGCTCATATGTTGTTAATATTTAACTTTGAAAATAAAATCACTTGTGCTGAAGAAATTTATAGAATTGTGTCATGTGAAATTCGTGACAAAACGAAATACCCTCATCTTCATTCTGTTATTGTTAGACACAATATGTATGGTCCTTGTGGAAACTTGAATCCGAAAAATACATGCATGGAGGAAAATAAAGGTTATAAAAATAAATACCCTAGAGATTTTTGTAATATTACTGTATTTGGTCAAGATTCATATCCGTTGTATAAGCATCATGATACTAATATTTCTGTTCGAGTTAGAGGTAAA